CTTGCCTGTTGGAGGAGAGGGAGATGGATGAGAGCAAAGCAGTTCCTTGGACAAAATAATTCTGGACTTTAACACAACAAATTGTTGCCCCCTGAGAAATCTCGGGCAGCTTACTGTTTGCTTGCAGATTACATTTTAAATTCAGGGGAAAATACTCATACAAAAATCAGAAGCTGGGTTACAGCTCTGGAGGGGAAAACTTGGTCCAGCGTTTTCTCCTCCCGTAATGTAGCATGTTGCATGCATAGTTAGCAGGCTCTTCAGTCTTGGTAATTAGCCCTTTTGCTCATCTACTTGCAAGGAAAAGAGTCCATGTTACATATCAAGCAATGGGAAAGGAAAAGCAGGTAACGAATAAATGTTACCCAATAATGTGGAAAAAACCTGACATGAATAGAAAGACTGAAAAGAGTTGAAAAGGTTTTTCCATCTATGGAAAACTGCTGGCATCCCAGAGGAAGTCATGATGGTTTATAATTGATCTCAGCTCACAGTTGAGATTATTCTTGGCATAATATAATCATTTGTCTGGAAGCTCGTTTGTTAAATATTTTTTAAAACTGCAATCTATAATCTGCTGCACATGGATTTTTATTTTTTTTTACAAGATAACATGAAGAGCTTAGCAATTGTTTAGGTATTTATCAAGTGTGGTGATTACCTGCCTTTGAGTGAATCTGTGGCATGTATGTTTTCGCTTAATCAATAGAAATACAATAAGCACTTGACTTTAGATTTTATTAGAGATGAACAAGAGTAACAGCAGGTTATTTTGTGATTTTTTTTTTCCTTTACATAAATAATTCCTTCTCCATTAAGATGTCCTCCCCAGCCCCAAAAGAAAGATGTAAATGCAGAAAATATGGCTCTGCTGTTGAACACGCTCTTTTCCCCATTGTGGCAGGCAGTGACCATAAGTCATTTTGATTTATTTTGAAACATTTTTATTTTTAGAGTGCTACGAAAGTACCATCACATGAATAAGAGTGGGGGCCTTTATTCTTAGTATTGATAAGTGGTGTCAGTCTGGTCTGATCTAACACTTACAGCGATGCTGCTTGCTTAGCTACTCCACGGCAGTGCTGCTGTTCCTTTTGGTCCCCTGATGGTACTTTAGGTGGTATCAGAATTTGTAGGAGTAACACATACTGGTGCTTAAACATTACAAGCAAGCTGGCTATGGCAAGCAAATTTGGAAATCGTTAACAGGTCACTGTTGGCGCTGCTGAAGGCAAGCGGCTGGTGCAGGACCCGTGGCTGGGTGAGCAAAAGGGGCTTCAGTAATCCAGATGTGTAGTGAACAGTGAGGTGTTGTGCAGTGTTTCACGCAAATAAAAGACGTATTCTGGGGCAGGTCATGATGAAGGCTCTGGGTTTGTTTGAGCAGAAACAAGCACTGAAGCCCAGCTGCTCTGGGTGGTCACTGTGCAATCTGGAGTAGCCGTGGCGCACGTTGTGCTGCCTTCAGTCCCGGGGAGGCTTCAAAAACTGCTGAAACGATTTCTGGATTTCATTACTGTCTCTCTTGAAGGAAATCCTTTAATCCATTTCTGGGAGAACGGTATTTCAGCCCCTGCTTTTCAGTGAAAGGTAGAAAAGCTCTTTTTTGCTATTAAACATGCCAATTAGCTTGTGTTCCTGCAGCTCGTCAGCAATAGCCCAGCCAGGGGATATTTGTTTTATGAGTGTATCACTTACAGACCATCCTGCAGTAGCTTTAACTTAGCATGCTGTCTTTTGAATAACAGAGATATAATAACTGGCATTCTTTCCTTTCCTTGTTCGGCTGTGATTGTCCGCATTCGTGCAGTGTTGCCACCAGCTCTCCGGCCTACGCAAACGCTGAATTCCTATTGTAACGTCTTGGAGGAAAAGCTTTCTGGGGTTTTTTATGTAATGTAAAGAAAGAAGAAAGCATCAGGCAACAGTCCCTCTTTTTTCTTGGTTGCCTTTTGTCAACTTTCAAGATTAAAGACTTGTGGAAAAACACATAGCTAAGTTCCATGAAAAAGAAAATAAACTCTATTGGAAAAAGGAAAATGTATTGAGTAAAACTGTACGCCTTGAACATATAAATGCTCTTTATCGGCTTTTGAATTGGCTTACTGTGTCGGGAGCTATGGTAAGGGGAATTTCATAGAGGGACTTAAGCGTGCAGCTTAGTTAATGCAGCAGAGCAGAGGGGATATCGTTGTGCATGGCTGGGGGAGAGGGTGAGCGTAAAACGCTGGTGTGAACAGGTATGCTTGTGCTTGCAGTAGGTAACACTGACTTCCAGGGCGTGCTGATACAGTGACATGAAAAAAGGCAGCAGCAGAAGTGACAAATTTGTGTGCTGCATTTTCATACAAATGTCTCTCCCTGATCTCTGAGAAAAATCTATAACCAAGGTTATATATTTGCTTCTCGTCAGATGTGATTGTGTCGAAGGAGGCTGACATGATACAGGTAACGATAACTACATTTCTGTAACCGCTACGGTGCTGTGAGCAGTTTCTTCAGCAAATAATGAAATGCTTGGAGATTTTAAGCTTGACAATCATAGAATCGGTTTAGATTGGAAAAGACCTTTAAGATCATCAAGTCCAACCAAACAGACCTGGCAGCTTCTACACCTGGCACGAGGGTTTGGATGCAGTTACAGAAAAGCTATGTGTATGTCAAAGTCCATCACTGTCCCACACAGGAACAGTTTCAGGTTACCCAGATGTTTTGTTTTCCTGTGTCTTTATGTCATGTGCCATAGCCATTGAGGAAATGCGTGGAAACAAACGTCTCCGTGCTTAGGTGAATGAGGCTGGACCAAACCCCAGTCCGGAGGCAAATTACCCTGTGTTCAAAACTCCTGATTTCACCAGCATATTCTTCTTTTGTTGACTCCATCACCGTTGTAATCTATTGCTGTTAACTCTTGTGCTTTTTAGTCCCCTCCTGTCATACCCCAGTTCCCCTCCTCTTTTCCCTACCTCATGTTACATCTGTAGACAGCACAAAATTTATATTATTAGCTTTTTCCTTTAGCATAGGTACTGGTATTCTGCCTTTTTAGGCGTCATTTGGTTGGTTTTAATAACTTTTCTATATGTACATACAGACTCATATATATAAAATTATTAATTATGTGATATATATAGATATATATTCTATATATTTAGAAATAGATATGCTATTTCTTTTTTTTTATAAATAAAAGAAAACAGTTGTTATTTCATCTTTTCTTGCTGTTCAGCTGCACGAGCATCCATTCATTTTGGGTCGTCATTGAAACCCATTTGCTTTCCCAATAGTAGTGTCCAGTTGAGGGGGGGGGAGTTGCCATTAGGATACATTTTCACTTGCTATATTTAACCTGTGTCCTTTTTTAGCTTTCCGTGAGTACGTGTGTAATGTTGGGCTGTCAGGGCTATGTCTTACAGCACAATTTCCTGGCTCGAGAGCAGGAGGTGTGCTTGAGAAATGACTTCATTACGAGACACGCTAAGCTCAGCTTAGTGGTCAGCATCCAGATGGATGGTCAGGGGTGAGCTCCTACCAGATAACATGTTTCTGGTAAAATAAGCACACTTACTAAATGAATCCTGCCTCTAAACGTGACCATACTTACTGTGCTGCATTTGTACCCACAACTTTGAGGAGGGCAAAATTCTTCAGAAGGCGATGAAAGTCTGAAAATGTGTATGAATATGCAATTCTCACTCTATTGTCAGGCACACAAAATATTGAGAAGGTGCTTTCTGGCTTGAATGTTCACAAATCCAGAAAGCCCTCTGACAGTTGCCTCGACCTTTGAAATTGGTGATGGAGGGGTTTTAGCTGCTTTGGTTCAGAAAGGTTGAGGGGGTTCATCCCGGAGCGATGAATAATTCCATTTTCTGCAGCGTAACCATTATGAACCTTTCCATTAGACAGGGAAGGGTTTTATTATCCTCCTTCACAAGCAGGTGACGCAGCAGGCGTGGGAGAGGTTTATTTTGATTTTTTCTGTCTTTTTTCCAATTTAAATTGAAATGAGGATGTGATAATTATCATAAACAGTGGCAGAAAATGCATGGGACGTAGCTCTGCTGAGGGCTTTTATTCTTCACAGAACCGAAAATCGGCCCATGCTCTTCCTGAATTACTAGAAACGCTCGGTTTGAGTTCTGCTTAATCTCCTCTCAGGATGCATCTTCCCAACTTTGGATTGCAAAGCTCAGATAATTAATCTTCCTGAATATTTTTGTCATCTTGCTTATATGTGCATTCATCAGTGTACATATAGGCTGCCAGGCCTTGCGGATTAGATTGAGAGCTCTGTACCTTAACTCTGCAGATGCTAGGAATTTTTTTTCCCCCCCGCTCTTCAGGATAGAAAAAACATTTTGTGATGGTACGAGAGATTGAATTTACTAGTATAAAAAGCCCCTCTCCCTGGCGTTCTCCAAAATAACCTTCAAGCTAAAGCACTTAACCTTTTTATGAATGCAGCTACAACTTACCCCCTTTAAAACCTATTTACGAGCAACTCTATACTAAAATTTGAACAAGTTTGGGATTTTTTTGGGAATATCCCAATTAATTATGGGAACGATTCTTTGTTTTTCCGCTTGTGAACCATTCAGGTGTTGTTAGAAACAAAGTAAGAGTTTTATGAACATGCATGGACCTGGGGCATCACGGGCGAAAGGTCTGCCTGGTAATAGTATAGAAATCTTCTGGTTTGGGATGGGTGTTCCAGGCTCTTGAGAGATGCTGAGAGCTGGGCTCCTATTGTCCCTACTAGAAGGAGTTTTTCTTCTCTGATGCTACGAGTTTGTTGTCTTTCATGATCAAAATACAAAGTACAAATGCACGAAGGCAAAAATTTTCCTTCTCTGTCCTTATACGTTCCACTGATGTTATTCAGATGGTGCATTTTACTTTGTAATCCCCACTCAAACAGAAAACCCAAGAAATGCTTGCTTTTATACTCTTAAGAGCCTTTTTTTGAAGTATCTTTTTTTTTTTTTTTTCTCTTTCAGACCTGGGCCTGGATCAGTTTATAGTGAAACGCTATGATGGGAAGGTGAGCACATTAGACTATTAAGTGAATATTACTTAATGGCTTTTTTAACCTAGAGTCCTTTAATTATTACCTGCATGTGGGTGTAAGTTAAATGAAGTATTTGAATTATTCTCTTCTGAGCCTTTTGCTGTTCAGTAGCATTGCAGTACGTTTTATGTAATGACAGTGAATGAGAGAAATACTTCTTTTTTTAAAGGTGTGTTAATGTTTACAGACAAAATATATTACCTCTTGTTGTATAGTGGTAGGCCAGGAGATTATAGGTTGTAATCACGTTTCCTTGCTGCTTCTTTATGACTGTGAGAGCTCGATGAGCTACGCCGTTTTGGGGAAAACTCACTTGACCTTTCCCTTCCAGACTCATCTCCAGATTCCTAAAGGAAGGAAACACTCTGTGTTCTTATCTGCATCCCAAGCATGTATTTCCTCTGCCCCCCTCCATCAAACACCCTTACTCTGTTCCCCTTTTGAACCCTAGGTCTTTCCTACAGCAGGACATGACTGTTCTGGATGTTTGTGCTGTCACGATATGTGTTGGTAAAATGTTGAGCACGCTCTGATCTAGTTTTGTCTGCCTCAGTGGAACCGTGCAGCATCCTCCCTGTTGTTACACAAACCAGAGACCCAATTAACCACACCATAAATCCAACTGGTATGAAGGAGTATGGTAAAGGCTGCTCTGGCCCTGGGACTAGCAGCTTGTATTGACTTCTTGATGCATATTTTCTATTGTATCACCGTGGGCAGATAATGGTACTCCAGCTTTTAGCAATATTTTCATTTCAACCTGCATCATCTGAAAGTAAAGCTTCTGTTTTCTCCAAACGGAAGTCAGCGTCTGATCCCTTCATTGCAGAGTGATGTAGTGTCAGGCATTTCCAGAAAGCCTGGACACTGGAAAAAATGCATTTAAAGCTTTATGTAAACACAGTGTGGGCTGTACATGTGCTGTTCCCTGTCTTGTTTTGTGTTTAGTAGGGAAA